TACATGGACCATTAAACTCTGAGCCACTGACCTGAGGGTTGTTAGGTTAGACACTGAATTAATATTATTAATATTAATATTAATTAATGTGTACATGCTCATAACATGTTTTCAGCGCAAAACATGTCTGCTATTAATTTCAGAAAACCTTCCAAAAAGACAGACTGAAGGTACATTTTTATGCCTTTGTTTAGATTATGTAGTTGATATTTGACTATACTTGAGATTATTTATATAATTTTTGCATTTAAGAAAACGCTGTTTGCATGTTTCAATTAAACATAATGAGTTGAAGTTGGCACTGAGCTGCAGGGATCCAGATGTTTAACACTATCACAGCTGAGCTGCTGTAGAGCCAGATGGATTCCACTGACACAGCTTCCTTAGGGCTGTGCTTCATTCTTTATATATGTCTTGGGTCGAAAGCTGAGTCCACACTATGCTTTTCCAAATAAAGTATGCATTTCTTACTCTAAATAAACAGGGCAACTCGTCTCCCCTCTGCTAGGAAACAGATTTATCAATTACAGACACTATTCAGTTGCCCGTGAACGTTAGTATATGGTTTGACTAAGCTGCTGCTATATGCTGAAATTTTCAGGATTAGTCATTGAACTAACATCAGTGTTAGCTTGCTGTTATTGGAAAATGGTAAGGTTAACATCAAAGTGTTATCCCACATTGCCTTCATTATATCTATATTCATAACTGTGTCATGTCTGCAAGAATGTTCACGATATTGCCAAAAGTATTCACTCATCTGCTTTCACATATTGGCCTACCCTTTTCCCTATAACAGCTTCAAAGCTTCTGGGAAGACTTTCCTTGTGGTTTAGGAGTGTGTTTACACCTGAGTTGAAATGAGCCAATAAGGACTCCTATTAGGGTAGGTTGGCTTTTGGGACTCCGGAGGCAACTAAGAGGTAGTGGCAGGCCAAGATAATTATGGCTCTGGTAGTAACAGAAGCAAACATTCATGTTTGGAAGGCCCTCTCCCTGCCACCTCCTCCAGTTTGTCTGGGAGAACACCAAGGCGTTTCCAAGCATGCAATCTCTCCAATGGGTCTGCCCGGGGTCTCTTCCCAGTGGGACTTGCCGGGAACACCTCACTGAGAAGGCGCCCAGGAGGCATCCTTGTGAAATGCTGGAAGCACCTCAACTGGGTCCTTTCGATGTGGGGGAGCAGCTGCTCTACTCTGAGCCCTTCCCAGATGGCTGAAATTATCACCCTATCTCTAAGGGAGAGGCACTGTGTCCCAACCTATCGTTATACGTGATTCTGAGATTCTAAGAGAAATGGTATTAAGTGTGTTGTAACAGAATCATAAGCCCTTTTTTCATTATTACCTACCCGGATCGATTAGCCACAGATCAACACAACTCGACTCAGCTCAACTAGTTTTCCATTACAACCCAGTACTACCCTGTGTGTGCTTGTCATCATAGCAACACATCTGCACGTCCTGTGATGTAATTAATATGAGACAAAGGTGGACATCAAGCTAACGATATACCTGCTGCTTGGGCTGTGGCTTTTCATCAGACTCCAGGGAACACGGCAGTGTTTTTTGGAGCCATTTCCCTCGTTGCCAGTTTCAAAAATTGTGGTTTTGATTTTTTGAACGAGCCACTGACCAGCCAGTCAGTGGCATGCAATCTGACCACGTCACATTTATTACCTGCTCGGATTCTTGAGCCCCGGCCGAGTAGGTACTAATAGAAAAGGGGCTATAATTTATGTGTGGTTACGCAGACAGTTAACCGTGCTTAATTGCTTAATACTGATCAGAATATAATCAGGTCTAAGTTTAAACTATAACGAATAGCACTGTTACCTCACAGCAAGAAGGTGGAAGTTTGACTCTACCATCTAGCTGGGGCCTTTCTATGTGGAGTTTGCGTGTGTTCTCTTTGGGTTCTCTGACTTCCTCTGATTCCCTGTCTCTCTGTGTTAGCCCTGCAACAGAGTGGCAATCTATCCATCTGTCTTGCCATTTGGTAGCTGGGATAGTCTCCTGCGACCCTGATAAGGATAAGCAGGAGAGGAATGGATGGATTTTAATAACAGGCCTCTCACTCACACTCTTTATCTTCTGCGAGAGGAGCAGTTCAGAAGACAAACTTTTAACTCTTGGATCTAGGATTTTACAGTTGAAATTCCAGCAGAGACATCAGAGGAATTAACCGCTGTCCAAACTCTGAACTTAAAAACCTATTTTGTGTTTTTTTTGGCTTTTTCTCTGCTCATTTTTGCTGTGTTAGATTATAAGTCTGAAACAGCAATAGGATTTCCATTGTTTTCCTGCTAGATTACAACTTCTATTTTCCTGTGGTTTCCCGTTGGACTGTTATTATCAACACCAAAAGCATAGATAAGTGCATCTTCAGGTCTGGATGTACTTGTCTCTTCTCAACCTCTCTCCTCTCGAAAATTAGAAAAAAAATCATCGTGTCAGAGTGCATTAAATAAAAGTATAACTCAAATGCTTTGATTATTGTTTTGTTTTATTTTATTTTTTAATAGTTTTGTTTTTGTTATTATTATTTGATTCTGCTTTGCTCCTGTTAATTGCTTTAATAAAATATTGAACATTTAAAAAGTCAAAGTGGTGGACATAAGTATAAACAGCTCTTACTACTCTAGCCTAAAAGTAACAGACTTTTAGGGACTTCGAGGGATCTAGAGGGAGTTTCCTTTAACGGGTGTGGCTCATGAATGCTGGGACTGCAAGGCTACTTGGGGCGGCTTTTATCAGAGGCAGTGGGGTAGACACTCGGAGGAGAAAGGTAATCAGCTCTGGGCGGGTCCCCTCACCCATTGGCTCCACCTGAGCTCTACACTGCCTACTGGATAATACCCATAGTAGGGCTGAACGATATATCGCATTTGCGATAATATCGAACATGATCAAGTGCAATTTTCTAACCGCAAAGGCTGCGATTATACTGCGATTATATTATACAATTCATGGGCTGCATCCTCCTGAGGCCGCATTTGTAGACCGATTACGTCACAGCGACGCGCCGAAGGCTGTCCAAATTACTACCATATCCAGAATTCATAGCGCGGCCCAGCCAAACTCCAGTTTCCAGCAATGGCGGCCGCTACTAAGTTTTAAAATTACTCATACTAATCTTTCTGGGTCACAAAATAAACTTTTAACATATTTTCAGGCGAGAAAGTAGTTGTGTAAACATCAAATATCTGCTCGGTTTATCAAGATATCCATATTTGCAAAAGTGCTTCGACGTTTTCAGAGGCGTCTGCTACCCACCAGCTCGACAGCTAGCCGGGAGCTCGAGGGTTACTGATGCGGCCGAGAACGGCACAACTCCCGGCACATCATTTTCAGATCACCGCGGAGTTTCGCTGCTCGGTTAAACGTAATATATAAGTCACTTAGACAACCTAAAAATGTTATTGTTGGGCTTTTTTCAGTGTTTTGTTTGTTCGTGAGTAAATCGGTTTGGCTGAGATTAAAGTTATTAGATTAGATAAAATAAAACTTTATTAATCCCCCGGGTGGGTTCCTCCTTGGTTTTCACACAGCTGACTAAACGTCAAACAGAAAACTTATTAAACAGAAGTATGAGACAGTCGAGAATTTACACCAGTGTCTGGTTATATTTTAGATAGCAAGAAGCAGACGGCCGAGTTTATTAAACTCCACCGAGACAGCGGTGACGCTAATCAGAACTAGCCTTCTGATTCAGAAGGCTAGACCGTCCAATTTCACGCCTTTAAACTTTAAAGGCGTGTTTGTGTGTGTGTTTATACAATTGCTATTATGTTTGCACTTTATGTGTAATGTTACTGACTGCAGAGATCAGTAAGATGTGTGTATTTTTATTTATTAGTTTTATTTATTTAATATTATTTTTAATTGAATGACTGTCTAGTAGTTCACAGATGTCGAAAAACTGAGTGTGGTAAAGTCACTGATTTTTTTTATGTATATTTCTGCAATCTGCACATTGTACTGACTTTCATTTTAATGTTTACACCAGGGTTCCTTGTCAGCACTTTATGCTCAGATGTTTGTAAGCTAAAAATAAACTATTGTGTATGTTCAAATATACTGTTGTGATTGAAGAAGTTAAATAAAAATGTCAGTCATCAATTCATGCATCACCTCATGTCATCATAACAGAGGTCTGTCTTCCAGGAAAGAACAGTTTAAAATTAATGTAATATAGTATTGGCCATACTATATGATGTATTGCTTGTCTTTGTTTAATAATACAGAAGAAAAATACCTTAAAAAATAATCGCATATCGCATCGCAATCGCAATATTGGGGCAAAAAATCGCAATTAGATTATTTTCCATAATCGTTCAGCCCTAACCCATAGGATCAGAGATTATGGCTTTTTTAAACAGTGAGCTGATCCAGACCTCCTTTGTTTTGGTACCGTGCCCCAGATTGACAGTACATATACATATATACAGCAAAAATATGGATTCTACTGTCTAAATGTATACAATAACATTCATATTTGAGGGTCCTTATATTGGGGAGAAACACACTGTAATGCACTGTTTATTTTCTGTGCAAAATGTGTACTATACTTTTAAAGCATGGACTGAGAATTGGGTTTTCAGTTGACTCTCCAGTGATAATCTTATGTGCACTCTGATGTTGTCTTACTGTTTGTTTTATGTCCATAGTATGGCAGAAGTCCCTTACACTTGGCTGCCTACAAAGGCCATATTGATGTTGTTCGTGTCCTGCTCAAAGCTGGCTGCAACCTGGACATCCAAGACGATAGTAGAGTCAAGTCTGTCATCCTTCTGTCCAGTTCCAGCTCTTACCGCAGTCCTAAGCATGTCGTCACCAATAGCTGCTTTCTTTTTGCTTCTCAATAATTTTTTTTAATTCAGCTTTTACACAAACATAACTGTAGTTTGATGGCCCCCAGTGGCCTTGAATGGGACTCTCTGGTCTGCCCACTGATGGGTCTTCCTTCAGCATGCAAGTCCATCTTCCCACAGACAGTGATAACCCAGATCTCTGGTATTGCCAAATTCACTCTCTGTGGTCAATGAGCTCTGCAGCAGGTTGCAGTACAGCCTCCAACACTGGGGGGAGCAAGAGATGCAGACTGAGAAAGAAGGAAAAGGACGATGAGGAAGAAGGGAGAAGCCATTGGAGAAAGGCTAAGAAAGAGCATGGAGGATCAGGGAAATTGAAAGAGGTTAGCCAAATCTGGTCCTACTGATTCAACAAAAATCTGTACCCCCCATCTTTCCCTGAACACTGCTACTACTCAACCACTGCTCAGCTTCGTTCTAGTGTGGATTGACCCTGTTCTTTGCCTCTCCCTCGTGTTCTTTATCTCATGGAAGTCATTACTTTTTTTCTTTTTGTGCTCTGATGTCAAACTACTACTACTGTCATGTCACTCACTGCTAATCTTCTCTATGGCCAGCATTCCATTTACGGCTGATCTTAAGTGTGGAAACTTTTACTGGGACTCGACTACTTTCATTTCATCACATGAACCACACTGGACAAACTGTGGCTAAACAACATTATCTGTGGTTGCTATAACTGCACCATATTAAAACCATTACTGACATAGTCAGGAATAACTCATTACCCTTAGGAATATACAAAAATGTAAACATTAGAATTAGAATAGAATAGAATAGAATTCAACTTTATTGTCATTGCACATGCACAGGTACAGGGCAACGAAATGCAGTTTGCATCCATCCAGAAGTGCTTTAGTGATATAGGTATATTACAATATATATTAGCAATAGTATAGATATGTAAGTATATTACAGAAATGGGTCTATTATGGTATGTTATAATGTACACGGTATGAAGTATGTTGTGAATATTCTATAACTAAGTATGTACAGGCTGTAGTGAGTACAAGCTATGTGCAGGCTATGAACAGGATATAAATATGAAAAACTATACAGAATATGAAATAAATAACTTTACAGAATCTGAGATACACAGCTATACAGAAATGGGAACTATGCAAGTTGTAAACAGTTGTAGGATTAAAAATTATCGAATGTACAGAACGATTAATTACACAGAGCTATACAGTAGTGCAGTTAAGATAAGTGAGGGTGTAGATAGTTTCTACAGAGGCTATATAAAATGCTAGTGGTTGTGAGTGGTGGTTCACTCCATGTTATTATTATGTGTTTGAGGGTACAGTTGTCCATTGTGGGTGTGTGTATGTTCAGTCCATGAGTTTAACGTGGTCAGATGTCAGGAGGCAGAGTTCAGGAGTCTGACAGCTGTGGGGAAGAAGCTGTTCCGGTACCTGGTGTCTTAGTCCGGAGGCTCCTGTGGCGCCTCCCAGAGGGCAGGAGGGTGAAGAGTCCATGTGATTGGTGACTGGGGTCTTTGATGATTTTCCCAGCCCTTTTCAGACACCGCTTCCTGTAGATATCTTTTATGGCAGGAAGTGGTGCTCCGGCGATGCGCTGGGCAGTTTTCACGACCCTCTGCAACGCCTTCCGGTCCGAGGCAGAGCAGTTCCCGTACCAGACTGTTATACAGTTGGTCAGGATGCTCTCGATGGTGCAACGATAGAAGTTCACCAGGATGTCTGAGGACAGGTGGTTCTTCCTCAGAGTCCTCAAGAAGAAGAGGCGCTGGTGAGCCTTCTTGACCAGCTTGGAGCAGTTGGTCGTCCAGGTGAGATCCTCGGAGATGTGGACTCCCAGGAACTTGAAGCTGCTCACACGCTCCACAGCCGTCCCCTTAATGTGGATGGGTGGATGTGGTTAGAAACATTAGTAGGACCTAGAGTGCTGGTGTAGTTCAGTTGTCCCTGGTTCAAGTCCAACCTGTGGACTTTTGCTGTGTCTTCCCACCCTCTGCTCTAATATTAAAAAAAAAAGCACACAAAAGACCCCCTAAAAAAAGAAGAACCTTAGTTGGAACTAGGGTTGTTTGAATTTCAGGGTTAGAATTTCAAATTTGATACTGATACCCAGGAACATGCACAATACAATTTTTGACCAGGAGGAGAGAGGTTCTGCCAGGTGAACACCAAGGAATTTGGTGCTCTTGCCGATTTCCACAGAGGATCCATCGATGTAAAGTGGACAGTGATCTTAACAACCATCTATTAGTTTTTGGGCCTTTTTCACCTTTATTGACAGAGACAATAAACTAAGAGCAAGAACGTGGAGGGAGAGAGAGAGGGTCGGATGTCATGCGGTCGGATTCAAACCCAAGCCAGCCACTCTTAGCCGTATGGCATGTGCACACATGCTAAACTGCCCACAACCATCTCTTTATTTTGTCCATGTTAAGAGACAGGTTGATGATGCTAAACCAGTCCGCTGTTGCACCCTGTCTCTATATGCTGACTCATTGTTCTTGCTGATAAGACACACCACAGTCGGGTCATCATCGATCTGGTTTGAACTGTGCATTGGTGCACAGTCGTGAGTTAGCGGTTAGTGGGCTAAGCATACAGCCCTGAGGGGCTCCAGTGCTCAGTTTGGCGGTGTTGGAGATGCTGTTACTGATCCGGACTGTCTGACGTCACTAAATGGTAAATGGCCTGTATTTGTATAGCGCTTTACTAGTCCTAAGGACCCCAAAGCGCTTTAACACTAATTCATGATCACCAATTCAACACACATTCACACACTGGTGATGGCAAGCTACATTGTAGCCACAGCTCCCCTGGGCGCACTGACAGAGCAAGGCTGCCGGACACTGGCGCCACCGGGCCTCTGACCACCACAGTAGGCAATGGTGAAGTGTCTTGCCAAGGACACAACGACCCGGACTGTCGGAGCTGGGGCTCGAACCGGCAACTTCCGATTACAAGACGAACTGCCAACTCTTGAGCACGATGCAAACGTTGAGCCTACGTCAGAAAGACCAGATCCAGATGGAGAGGGAGTTTTCAGGCCCAGCAGGCTCAGTTTCCAATGCTGAGGAATTATTGTGTTGAATGCTGAACTGAAATCTATGAACAGCATTCGCACATATGTGTCTTTATTGTCCTGGTGGGTGAGGCAAGTTGTAAGGTGGTGCAGGTGTACCTGCAGTGGGTCCAGTGTGGTTGGCAGCAGGGTCTTAATGTCCCTCATGATGAGCCTCTCAAAGCACTTTATCATGATGGGTATGAGTGCAACAGGAAGATAGTCATTGAGGCAGGACACTGGGGACACTGGGTACTTTTTTGACACAGGAACAAAGGGGGGTTGCCTTGAGGCACGTTGAGATGACAGCAGGTGCTCAGAGAGAGTTGACGATATCAGTGAGGAATCTGTCAGCTGGTCTGCACATTCTCTGAGCACTCTCAGGGATTTTATCTGGCGCAGCAGTTCAGTAGGTTAACTTTTAAGAGTTTTTCACATCAGGCGAGGTCACATACAGAATCTGGTTGTTGTGAGGAGCGGGTGGACTTCCTTGCCAACCGTCACTGGAGCGTCAAACCGGCATAGAAGTTGTTCAGCACATCTGGTAGGAAGGTGTCAACGTTGCAGGCAGGACTGGAGGCTAGGTTTCCATAGCAATCCGGAGGGCTGGTACGTACGTGTTACTGCCGTGCTGGCATTTTTTTAATAACCTGCAAGTTTAAACTGAAATATCTCTTGTTTTAAGTAGCTACTAATTGCTAATTTACACTCAACCAGCTGGCTCAAAATGCAAGGATGTTCAGACAGGAAATTTCATAACTCAAGGAATTGTACCTTCAACTTGCTGTTTTTTGCAACATCCGACTACAGAATGGAACAGTTGTCAGCCACCTCCTGTACATGGATGACATCAGCTGTATGCCAAAGTGAACGAGACATTGATTCACTGATCCACACCACCAGATATACAGCAATGACATCAGAATGTCGTTCGGACTGGAAAAGTGTAGTCGGATGATAACAAAGAGAGGGAAGGTATCAGAACTGAGGGGATTGAACTACAGAAGGCCAACATGCAGACGTAGAGGACAGCTACAAGTACCTGGGCATCCCACAGGGAAATGAAACCATGAAGAGGCTGCTAGGAAAGCTGCAACACCAGGTACCTGCAAGGTCAGGCAAGTCCTGGGAGTCAGCTGAACGGTAAGAACAAGATCTGGGCTATCACACCTACGCCTGCCGTGATCAGGTACCGGCTGGGATAATAAGCTGGTAAAGGAGGAGATAGAAGCCATGATATCAAGACAAAAAAGCTCCTGCCATGCATGGAGGGTTCACCCAGCGGAAGGAAGGAGGCAGGGACTGGTGAGTGTCAGCACCACAGTACAGGATGAGACAACGAACATCCACGAATACATCACGAAGATGCCCCAACTGACAGCGTGCTCAGTGAATACTCAGCAGCAGAACCCAAAAAGAGGAGGAAGGCGAAGAATCATCATGGAAGACAGACCCCTGCACAGTATGTACCACGGCAATAGAGAGGTGGCTGATATCCAGAAATCCTACCAGTGGCTGGACAAAGCTGGACTTAAAGACAGCAAAGAGGCACTAATCATGGCAGCACAGGAACAAGCTCTGAGCACAGATCCACGAGGCTGGTCTATCACACCAGCAAGACCCCAGGTGCAGGCTGTGTAAAGATGCCCCAGAGACAATCGCACATAACAGCAGGGTGCAGATGCTACCAGGCAAGGCATACATGGAACGCCATAACCAAGTGACCAGCATGTGTACAGAACATCTGTGCCAAGTATAACCTGGAAGTTCCGAGGTCAAAATGGGAGATGCCCCCAAGGGTGGTGGAGAATGACCGAGCTAAGATCCTGTGGGACTTCCAGATAAAGATGGACAAATGGTGGTGGCTAACCAAGCAGACATAGTGGTGGTAGGCAAACAGAAGAAGACGGCGGTAGTGATCGATGTAGCGGTCCCGAATACAGCAACATCAGGAAAAGGAATGAGAGAAGCTCGAGAAATACCAAGGGCTCAGAGAAAGCTCGAGAAGAGTGAAGGGTGAAGTAAGCTTGAAACCTGTATCCCCATAGTCGGTTACCAAGATTACGTGAAGTACCCTCAGAAGGTCTGCTAGATGATGTAATGCAGCACTACGGACAGATACCTACAACCACGATTACCGACACTAACAAGCTGATCTACAATACGGCAGCAGTGATCAGTGAGATGCTTGGCTACAAGTTGAACAGCCACAAGGGCAGTACCCTCCATGGAGAAGGAGGCTAGAGGCAAGATCAAAGTAGCACGGAGGAGTTAGCCAACTAAC